TTTTTTTTTTTTTTTTTGAGACGGAGTCTCGCTCTGTCGTCCAGGCTGGAATGCAGTGGCCAGATCTCAGCTCACTGCAAGCTCTGCCTCCCGGGTTTATGCCATTCCCCTGCCTCAGCCTCCCAAGTAGCTGGGACTACAGGCGCCTGCCACCTCGCCCGGCTAGTCTTTTTTGTATTTTTTAGTAGAGACGGGGTTTCACCATGCTAGCCAGGATGGTCTCGATCTCCTAACCTCGTGATCCACCTGTCTCGGCCTCCCAAAGTGCTGGGATTACAGGCTTGAGCCACCGTGCCCGGCCTGAAGGATCATTATTCTTAAATGAAGGCATAATTGTATTATGTTATTAGGCCTCATTTTTTTAAAATCCCACTTGAAAAGATAGTTTTTCATTGTCTCATAGGTTTACCATACTATACTATGTGTTTTAAGAGTTATGCAAAAAAAAAAAAAAATTTAAGGAAGACTTGACCCCAGCCTTGAAGCTTTATAGTTTGGGGCGGTTGGGTGATATGAAATGTTATTTAACAAAATAAGACTGTACAGTTGGTTTCAATTATTTTCCTCTGTTCATTTTGTAGTTCTTAGTAAGGATTTTTTAAAAAAATTTTCTTCTTTTGATAGTTTTTTATTTATAAGATTTTTGAACTGATGAAGATGAGTTTGCCTTGTTGCTCCTAATTACAGATTAGAAACCTTCTTGATTTCCCCTACCCATAAAGGCAAAATTAAATACTTCATCTGTACTTGCTAATATGATACTTTTTGAAAAACACTTCTACCATAGTATTTGCCACATGGCTTTCGTCATATTTCTCCTAGACCACAACCTTACTTTAGGGATCTTTATCACTATTGCTTGGCATGTAATAAGTGGTACAACAAAATGACAACACTTAGTGATACCAGAGAATGCTAAAGAGTGTAGAGAATCTGGTGGGGGCAAAGTCCTGTGCAACAATTGAAATGATCATTGGTGGCTTAAAGATTTAGGGAAGGACGGTTTTAAACAGAAGGATGATAGGTTAAAAAAAAATAAAGATGAGATAGCAGTACTTATTTACGGGTCAATGAGTCTAGTCAGTTACATTGGGGAATTATAAGGAATAAGTTAGGAATAAATAGTGTAAAGCTGATTTATAGAGAACTGCATACCAGACTGAGGAATATGAATTCCCCCTTTGGTGTGGGGAAACTAATTTGGTCAGTGGGGTAAGCAAAGACAGTTCCTTTTTTCATGTTGCAGAAGTTGGCCCCTCATTTAAACATAATGTAGTTTTTGGAAGGTAGTCTCCTCATTTACCAGAATATATATATATGTATTCTCAACACTAAAAAATTAAGTATTCATATAATAGCTTTTAGGTAGAAACAAGCACCTTAATTCACATATTCTGTGCTCTAGCTATTTTTTGTTCTTTATAAACACTAAATAAATGCTTACTTTCATCCCTTTGGTCTGTTTGCCAGAAATCCTTTTCTGTTGCCATGCTTCCAGCTTTTACCCATCTTTCAGGTTTAGCTCAAATTCCACTTCATCTAAAAAAAGCTTGACCTTATTAGACCACAGTGAAGTAGTTTTCCAAAGTCTGGATGTCATAGATCCATTCCTGTAAATCCTCTTTTTATGTACATGTCTCCTACTTCTTCTAGACTGTAAATGATGTCTAACATGATGTCATATATGGCATAGTTAAATACTTGGGATTTTTCTTCTTTTTCATTAAATTATTTTTTAAGACAGTTATTTTGTGAGGCTAAAGTAGGAGAAGGAATGGGTAATAAAAAGAAATAATATGATGGTAAAATGATCTTAAAGGCAGAATTTAGAAAGGAAATGAGAGAGAGAGTATAAGTTGGAGAAGTAGTAAAAAGGTGAGAAATAAGGATTTTCATTCAGATTATCTTCTGTTATATCCTATTTGAATTGCTGAATATCATAACCATTTTATGTTTTTCTCTCCAGAGGAATCTGGAGGATTCATTTGGGTTATTCATAATTGTTGATGATAAGATTAGAAAGACGATTAATCCTATTTGTCATTGAAACTTAAATACTTTTCTCAAGGATTTCCTAGTTACTATATAGTTACTGAAAGCTATAGTTTTTAGCTTTTGAATTTTAGTGAAAAATACATTATTGTGAAGAATTACCAGAAAGAATTAATTTAGGAAGAGAAAGGCGGGGGGTAAGGCATGAATGATCTTGAGTAGTTTCTGCCTGGTAGAGAGTTGGAGAATATTTGAATATGCTTGTTCTCTAGATCATTCTCAGATCAAAATCTGAGGTTTCAAATGCTGAGATAGGTAGTAATTTCTCTTTATCAGTTTTGACAGCTTATTTTGTGAGCTTATTTTTTAGGACTGGCTTAAATTCTTTCCTCTATAGATAAAAATTAGTTTCTGATTTAAAAGCAAGTAAACATTTATCTTTTTTTGCTAGCTATGGCAATAACATGGTCACTTTAATTTTTTAGCCAAAGGCTAAAAAAGCATATATTTTACGTTATTTACATAGCTTTTAGGCAAAGCAAATACCATTTACTGGTGTGATAAATACATAGAAAGCTTATTCTGCAGTTTTTTAAAGTGATAAACTACCACTATCTGAAGTGTATTTGACCAACCATTTGCTGTAAATAATTGGTATGTTATTATCCACTGATTTTTTGACAGCTGGTTCAGTTTTTCTTTAAATATTAGGTAGTGAGTATTGTTAAGCTGTGTTTAATGGTATTAGATCAGGGTAGGACCGAGAAAACTTGTTTGTACCTTATAAAAGTAATAACAAGCTGGTAAGTTAGAGAGCCAGTATAGTGTACTAGTAGTTTGGAGTCAGAAAAATCCATCTTTGCCATTGTGTAACCTTGGAAAGCTACTTAACCTCTGAGCCTCTCTTTCCTAATCTGTGAAATGGGAATAGAGGTACTCATTTTTTTGAACAAATAACAAATTTGTTGAGCTTCTAGTATATACTAGAAATTATACTATATTTTGGATAACAATAGTACCTCTGTCGTAAGATCCTTGGAGGATTAAGTTAGAATGCATGTAAAACACTTAGCACAGTGTGTAGAACATAGGTAAGTGATCAATATATTGTAGTTATTATTACTAAAACATCCCAAATGTATTTTTTTTGGAGACGGAGTCTCACTCTGTCACCCAGGCTGGAGTGCGGTGGCGCCATCTTGGCTCACTGCAACCTCTGCCTCCTGGGTTCAAGCCATTCTCCTGCCTCAGCCTCTCAAATAGCCAGGATTCAGGCAGCTGCCACAATGCCTGGCTAATTTTTGTATTTTTAGTAGAGATGGGGTTTCACCATGTTGGCCAGGCTGATCTTGAACTCCTGACCTCAAGTGATCCTCCTGCCTCAGCCTCCCAAAGTGCTGGAATTACAGGCATGAGCCACCGCACCCAGCTCCAAATGCATTTTTTAAAGTTGTCTAAGAGCAAAAATAGTTTCAGGGAATAATTATATGTCAGGATATGTCATTAAATATTTTAATGATAAAGCTATATGTTTTTAAAAAACATTTGTGTGACATTCATTTTTTAAAAGTTTGGTTAATCATAGCATCTTAGTGTTACACTAGTTAATTAAGATTTTTAAAGCATATTTATTGGTAACTTTTTTTTTTTTTTTTTTTTTTTTGAGACGGAGTCTCGCTGTGTCTCCCAGGCTGGAGTGCAGTGGCGTGATCTCGGCTCACTGCAAGCTCCGCCTCCCGGGTTCACGCCATTCTCCCGCCTCAGTCTCCCAAGTAGCTGAGACTACAGGCGCCCGCCACCACACCCGGCTAGTTTTTTTTGTATTTTTAGTAGAGACGGGGTTTCACCATGTTAGCCAGGATAGTCTCGATCTCCTGACCTCGTGATCCACCTGCCTCGGCCTCCCAAAGTGCTGGGATTACAGGCTTGAGCCACCGCACCTGGCCTGTAACGTTTTTCTTTTAATAGTCTTTATGATTTGTAGAATTTGATATATACAGTCTTGCCTTGTTCTTCTGTATATGTTAAGAGATTAGTTCCAGGACCCCCACAGCTCAAGTCTCTTATGTAAAATGGCATAATATTTGCCTATAACCTACATATACCCTCCCCTATGTTTTAAATCATCTCTAGATTGCTTACAATACCTAATAAAATGTAAATGCCATGTACATAGGTCTTATACTATCTTTTGAATGTGTGTTTTTTTTTTCTGAATATTTTTTATCTGTGTTGGTTGAATCTATGGATGCAAAGGGCTGACGAGGATATGTAAACCTAGATCACTTTAGAAATAATAACTACAACTACTGTCAGTGGGGTCTTACTTTCTGCCAGGCATGTTCTAAAGATACTGAATGTATTGAACCAACTGATACTCACCACAACCCCATGAGGGAGGCATTATTATCCCCTTTCTCAAATGAGGAAACTGGATCACAGAAAGGTTAATTCATTTACCCAAGGTTATACAACTATAGTATTACAGCCAGGATTCAAGAACTTGTGCACTTGATCTTAACTACTGTCCAATAGTTAATTGCTGTCTCTCCCAGATTTTATAATCAGGTTAACTATTTGAATAATATGTAAATATAGTCATCATGTTTAGAAAACCCCCAAAACAACTGAACAGTGTTGAGTCTTACTGGAACGTTTGCTGAGCTCTGTAATTTGTATTGGGTGATTGTACTGGGCTGTATAGGAAGGCATCACCATAAGGGATGGCTGGGCATTAGCACAACTAGAGTTGATGATCAGGGTTTCAAAACCTGGGATTAAAAAATATGTGTTAATAATTTTCTTTCTTTTTTTTTTTAACTTGTTTTTCAGTGTGGTTTATAGTGGTACTGATTTGATTTTGGCAAATCAACTTTTATTATAACTGTAGTCTTGGGTATATCAGCTCAGCTGTAGTCTAGTTCAATGGTTATTTAACAATGGATTTAGTTAAAATCCATTAGAATGTTCATACAAAGATTAATTTTGTATTCTTTCTACCTCTTCAGTAAAATAAAACAGGGTCTGTTACCTAGCTTGGAAGATTTGCTGTTCTATACAATTGCGGAAGGACAAGAGAAAATACCCGTTCATAAATTTATTACAGTAAGTTTTTATAGTTTTCTATCTTAACTTAAAAAATCAGTAATAATAAATACAGTATTATTGAAATATAGTCTTAAAGGTCGTCTGACATGTAGATTCTGACTGACACTATTTCTCTTATTATGTTTTCAAATTTTTATCATGCTCATTTCAAGGTAATCAGTGAAAGAAAAAGAAAGAAACAATGAGAAACTTGTCCAGAAAGTGGGTAATAGTGACACTAAGATGCCATATTCATGTTCAAGTGTTGGGTAGAAGTTTTTATATACAGGAGTAAAATCTTATAGTTGGTATAAACATATACGTTATTTGCACTATATATTTACAAACTCTTATTTTTTTAAAAACAGGCACTCAAATCTACAGGATTGCGAACGTCTGATCCCAGGTTGAAAGAGTGTATGGATATGTTAAGATTAACTCTTCAAACAACATCAGATGGTGTCATGCTAGACAAAGATCTTTTTAAAAAGTAAAAGTTTCTGCCAAACCTTTAATGGTGATTTGCTATGCTATACGGTGATTCTGCTTTTAAAACAAAATTGCATCTTTGAAGGCCACTGCTTCCTGTGTAATGGAAAAAGGGGATTTATAAACATCATTTGTTTGAAGAACTTGGTACACATTAGGTTCTATAATACACCAGGCTAAGAGTATTCTTTCTTTAAATCTGTTCTAAGGAAATTTAGCCACTGATGTTTCCAGTTTACAGTACTTGGAGATTGCATTCAGTTTGAGTAGAGCACATCCTTTGTCCTGTCATTGCTTATATTGATCCCCAGTTCATCTGCATGACTTTCAGGCTTTCTCAGCATGGTCTCTAGTTCTTTTCCACAAGGTGATTTAGGTGACATCGTAAAATGAGAGGGCTTCAGACAGAACTGTGTTCCTCACATTTACATATCTGCATTGTCTGCTTCTCTCTTCAGACATATTAATACATAGGCTTTTGGCTATTTTCATTTTCTTCAAAACAGTAAAGAATTAAAGGCAACATTGGAGATAAAAGCCTTAAGATGTTCCTGTATTTGCATGTATTTATTATTTATCTTCATTAATGTGTTTCTATTAGTTTGATTACTTAAAGATTTAATGAACATGTGTGTAATGGATCCCAAAGAATCAAATAGTATTTTAAACTCCTACTGTTTAAGTCGAAACTAGTATAAAACTGTAAATACTACTATAAGACATTGGCTTTTTCCAGACATGGATCCAAAAATTTCTACATCTACTTTGAAAGTTTGTTATGTATGGATGTATTTACTTTTGTTTTATTTTTGGGGGGGGGTTGGGTGATTTGTTCTAGATATCTCCTGGAGTATTAAGTCATCTGAAGGTATAAGTATTTAACTGTATTTCTCTGAAGTTTCCTGGCATGCTGTGAAGCACTGCTGACAGCTTTTCACCAGGAGGTTCTTGGTTCTGTTAGCTGACCTTAAAGTGTAGACTTTAGGTCTGTGTTGCAGTTGGTGTTAGGAATTTTGACTCTCCAGAACCTGCTTTTTAAGAGACAGAAAAACATCATTTCTAAATTTATTTGTGTCTTTGCAGTAAGGATTATTTTTCGTGTTCATGAGCTATCTGTACAATATTCTGATTAAAGTGCTTTCTGCGGGCATTATTTTGTTGTGTCTGTGAATGAAGTTTGTTAGAGTAATGATAGGTAGATCTATTGATAATCAGTGGGGGAACTGCTTTGGAATTTTAAGTGGAAGCAGTATTTTACACTTTTTTTTTTTTTTTTTTTGAGACGGAGTCTCACTGTCGCCCAGGCTGGGTGCAGTGACATGATCTTGGCTCACTGCAACCTCTGCCTCCCAGATTCAAGTGATTCTCCCGCCTCAGCTTCCCAAGTTGCTGGGATTACAGGTGCCCACCTGGTTTTTTTGTATTTTTAGTGAGACAGGGTTTCACCACGTTGGCCAGGCTGGTCTCAAACTCCTGACCGCAGGTGATCCGCCCGCCTCGGCCTCCCAAAGTTACACGTTTTTAATACTTGAAAAGATATTTATGTTTTATAAAGATGTTGCTGTGTTTAAATATGAAATTAAAAACAATTTAAATCCTTTGATTATTAAGCCAGGGAACTGCAAACATTAAATTTTCTACCTGCAATTATATTAAGAGATAGTAATTACTATTGTTTTAAACACTAATCCAATTTTTAAAAATCTATGCTTGTAATACAGGCAGTTTCTAACTTGACAAATGTTTTATGGTCTATAAGAGCAACCAGTAGAAAAGTACAAGTCTATAGGCATAATTATTTCTCTCTTTATTCTTAGAATGAGGTAGTTCAAAACCTCCATCTATTAACCTTTTAATAGTTTTCAGTCACCTGGAAAGATGATTGCTTCAGAGATGTTCTTTTCTTTCTTTTTTTTTTTTTGAGACGGAGCCTGTATCGGTCGCCCAGGCTGGAGTGCAGTGGTGCGACCTCGACTCAACTGCAACCTCCGCCTCCTGGGTTCACTCCATTCTCCTGCGGAGTAGCTGGGACTACAGGTGCCCGCCACAACGCCCGGCTAATTTTTTGTGTTTTTGGTAGAGATGGGGTTTCACCGGGTTAGCCAGGATGGTCTCGATCTCCTGATCTCGTGATCCGCCCGCCTTGGCCTCCCAAAGTGCTGGGATTACAGGCGTGAGCCACTGCGCCCGGCCTTCTTTGTTTTCAAATATAAGAAGTTATCTAGTTAGTGTTGCCCGAAATAAACTTCTCCCTTCCATGCAACTGGGGAGGAGATGTTAAAACATGGGATTCATTTTTCCCCAGAGAAATAATTTATAAAGTTGCGTAGGTTTGGTTGAAGCAATGTATTAATATTTTACCTAAAATACATTGTAGATTAATATTTTTAGACTTTTTCGGTAATCTGAGAAACAACTATTATGTGCGACTTTTTTTAACTTGGGAAAATACGTTCTAAGTATACTTTTGGAGTATAACCTGTTTGAAAGTTAGAGACTGCCTGTACCCAGCTTGATAGTCAATTGTTTTTAATGCTAGTAAACCTTAAAACTAATAGAAGTAAAAGTATTTGTGTTGAAAACTAATCCTTTATTTATTCATGCATTTTTAACTTTATAGGTGTTAGAACTGTTTCTTTGTATGATCATAATTTTTTGATCTTTTTGTTTTGCAAGAAAGTGAATGGTAGCCTTTTATTTGTGTGTTTGATTTTCTTAAAGATTTCATATTTATTATGTTATTTTACAAATGAAATATTATTGTTGAGAAATGTCTTGTAAATCATTGTGCATTTCGTTAGTTTTTAGTTATAAACACTTGAGGAAAGAAAATGATTATTCCCAGCTTACAGATAAGAAAACTGAACAAAGGACAGAGATAGATATAACTTGCTGAAAAGCATAAGCACCTCCTCAGAGTTCATTTTATATGACTTCTAATTTCCTAGTTAGACTCATGGTATCTATATTAAAATAACTCCCAAGAAAAACCTTACTGTTTGGAATGGTGATCAGTATGCAGTTAGATACTCTCCTGAGAGGCAAGATTGGCTTTGTCACCTGTTAATTTACCAGTGAAGGCTGTTGCAACAGCTTTACCAGCACCTTCTGCTACAGCAGAACATTCATAAAGTTTCACTGAGTGTATAATTTTGTTAATTATAAATCCTTTTAAAGGTGCTGATTAAAATAGTTAAATGGTAGTAGGTTAATAATTTAAATTTGTTCAGCAGCTCATTTTTGCATTTATAACTTGTTGAAAAATGAGGAAGTATATTTGATTTGTTGTAGATATAAATACTGGTTTAAGATCAGGAATTCTGTTTTTCTTTCCTCTGAGAAAGGTGGTGTTTGATGTATATCTCTTGCAACTCTGATACTTGTAAGTTGGATTTTAGAAGCTTTTTGAAACATTAAAAATATTAAGACAATGGTAACATTTTTGAGATTAACATTGAAACTATCTGAAAATGATTGTTTATTGAAGTAAATATTTCTTTTTTTTTTTTTTTTTTTTTTTTGAGACGGAGTCTCGCTCTGTCACCCAGGCTGGAGTGCAGTGGCCGGATCTCAGCTCACTGCAAGCTCCGCCTCCCGGGTTCACGCCATTCTCCTGCCTCAGCCTCCCGAGTAGCTGGGACTACAGGCGCCCGCCACCTCGCCCGGCTGGTTTTTTATATTTTTTGAAGTAAATATTTCTTAGCTCTAGCGTGTCAGTAATATGTAATTTATGGAAATTAGGACTATAATTTTTTAATGTCAATAGGGGGATCCTTATGACTGAAACAGTAGTCATTTCTATTAGGATTTTATTTTTAAACTGTGCGTTAATTTTATATTGAACAAATGAGTTTATATTATTCTGAATTCTTATTCATAAACTGTGAAACCTGGCTTTTAACTTTAATTTGGTTTCATCTAGAACAACCTGAATTAAAATATTGAGATTTAAAAATTTCTCATTTACTACAGACTAAACAAGAAATACTGAGAGCATCTTACTCTTAAGATTTGTTATTGTTGGTATTATGGCTTAACACCATGGTTAGCAAGTCTTCCTTTATTAATATTAGTTAAATATTCTATTACTGTGTTATAGAGACTTAAGAAGCTCAGAATATACGATTGGCTGTAATCTATTTGCAAAACTTTTTAAAGGCTACATTAATATACTGATTTTCTGGCTTATTCTTTTTAGCAAAAAGCAGAATACAGTTCAAATTATTAGATTTCAGAATGTCATGCTCTCCCATCCACTTGGTTTACTATGTTTTAAAAATACTTTTTTAACAGTGAAACATTTTTATTCTGCATTGTATTTACATATCTTATATTAAATAGAATATTGTAGTATAACATTTTTGGTGACTCAAATAATATAAAATTTATTACACTACATATGAAATTTTATTTCAAATTATACATTATTTTTGCAAGCATTTCAACAGACATTTCATTTAAGAGGTAAATTAATCTGACTAAACAAAGTTTATATAATTAAGGAAAAATATGTTAAAATGCAAAATGTTTAATTTTTAAATGAAATGCTATTAATAGCTATATAAGAACTAAGAGATGTATTTCTGAGATTACTTGATAAATAAACAAGATCTCAACCAAGGCAGTTGAATTTTGTTAACCAGATGTCATCATGCTGAATGTTTACCAACTCTGAGTAAGAAGCTTGTTTCATATGGTCTTAATACTTAAACCTGGTGGAATGCCTTGTCTTTTAGTTTTTGACACAATTTTAGGCACATCTAGATTATTTCTCTTACATGTTGAACAGCTTACAAGCAACTACTTGAAAGACTGCTAGAAGGAAAGAAAATAATATAGAAAGCAAAATTTATGGAGTTTAGTTGTATAAAATGATGAATTTATCTATTAAACAGTGTCCTAATTGTTACTGTTATTACCAAGTTCTAATATTTGAAAGGTACCCAATTTATTAATTATTTTTTCTTACATTCCACAGATGTGTTCAGAGCAACATTGTTTTGTTGACACAAGCCTTTAGAAGAAAGTTTGTCATTCCTGACTTTATGTCTTTTACCTCACACATTGATGAGTTATATGAAAGTGCTAAAAAGCAGTCTGGAGGAAAGGTAATGCTTTTGATGTACATATTTTCATAACCCAATCACTTAATAAATTCAGCTCAATTTGAGGTCTAGAGAGTAAATTGTGTAGTTGCGTTTTGCTAAAGAAAACACTTTAACTTTGCTTAAGAAATTTAAGTTAAGTGAAGCCACTGGATTTAGTGTTTTTACAATATTTTAAATGTTTAACTTTGTTATTCTGGCTAAAGAGAAATCGAGTAAGATTTTTTTATTTTCAGATGATGGTGATGGATTTTAAAATTTTAATTAATTTAAAAAACCTTATTCAGAATTTCTGCAGATCTGATATCCTGCCGTATTAAATGAAATGTTTCTAGTTTTGAAAATCCTCTAAATAATACTAGAGACTGTTTGATTTTCATATAGAAAGTTTTTGTTTTCTTTTGTTTTAACTTTGGGTAGCTTTAGTATAATCCAGTTGGCCCTGGAACAAAGCAGGGGTAAGGATGCCAACCCCACACACAGTCAAAAATCTGAGTATAACTTTTGACTCCCTTAAAATTTAACTACTTATAACTGCTGTTACAAGCCTTACCAATAACATAAATAGTCCATTAACACATTTTGTATATTTATTATATACCATATTCTTTTTTTTTTTTTTTGAGATGGAGTCTGGCTCTGTCGACCAGGCTGGAGTGCAGTGGCGCAATCTTGGCTCACTGCAAGCCCTGCCTCTCAGGATCACGCCTTTCTCCTACCTCAGCCTCCAGAGCAGCTGAGACTACAGGCGCCCGCCATCACGCCTGGCTATTTTTTCTATTTTTAGTAGAGACAGGGTTTCACCGTGTTAGCGGGGATGGTCTCGAACTCCTGACCTTGTGATCCGCCCGCCTTGGCCTCCCAAAGTGCTGGGATTACAGGCGTGAGCCACCGCGCCCGGCCTATATACCATATTCTTACAATAAAGTGAGAGGATAGAAATGGTATTGAGAAAATCACAAGGAAAATACATTTACTACTTATTAAGTGGTAGTGGATCACCTTGAAAGTTTTCATTGTCATCATCTTTGTGTTTAGACTGAAGAAGAAGAGGAGGGATTGGTCTTGTGTCTTGGGGGTGGCAGAGGCAGAAAAGAATCTGCGTATAAGTGCACTCTTTGAAGTTTGAGTCCATGTTTAAGATTCAACTGTGTAACAACTTCAGTGTAAATACTTACTACTTATTTTTAAGTACTTGATTCCTAATGTCTTAGTGAAACCCTACTAGCACCCATGACCCTGATTAAGTAAATTTTTTACTTTTTTCCTGCTTAAAAAACAAACAAACAAAAAAAGACAGTTCAAGTTCCTCTGCTAGACTCTCCTGCTAAACATGGAAAAGAAAGAATGCATTAGAAAGAAAGAATGCATTGGAAAACAATAAATAATAGAGACTGAGAGAAGTCACTTTAGATCTCATAATTCTCAATTCTGTTTTGCCTTTAGTTTTCATGAGCATTGTTATAGAAGATAGACTATGAAGCCACTGAGTGTTGTAAAATAACTAGGCATTGGTAGAAGGTAAATGAGATAAGAAATTTGTTGGTGGAAGAAAATATAGTATTTGCCAATATTATATCTATTCATTTCTTTCCAATCTTTTGGATAGGTTGCAGATTATATTCCTCAACTGGCCAAATTCAGTCCTGATTTGTGGGGTGTGTCTGTTTGTACAGTAGATGGACAGAGGTAAGTTTATTTCAAATTCATGAAAACGAACTCTAAGCCTTAACTTTTGTATAATGGTGAGAATGACATGGAGAAGATCATCTTTTATAATGAAAATTGACTAATTTCCTAACAGGACATAATTTCAAAAGGTAAATTTAGATTTTAATTTAAGTTTTAAAAACTCAACTGAGGCCAGGCGCGGTGGCTCAAGCCTGTAATCCCAGCACTTTGGGAGGCCGAGACGGGCGGATCACGAGGTCAGGAGATCGAGACCATCCTGGCTAACACGGTGAAACCCCGTCTCTACTAAAAAAAATACAAAAAACTAGCCGGGCGAGGTGGCGAGCGCCTGTAGTCCCAGCTACACGGGAGGCTGAGGCAGGAGAATGGCGTAAACCCAGGAGGCGGAGCTTGCAGTGAGCTGAGATCTGGCCACCGCACTCCAGCCTGGGTGACAGAGCGAGACTCCGTCTCAAAAAAAAAAAAAAACAAAAAAAAAAAACTCAACTGAAACAGTAACATTATATTAAGTTTTATATCTATTTTAGTCACAGTTGTAGTCTCACTTTTTGAGTATTATTCAAATACCTGCAGTTACCAATTTGTTTCAGAAAAGCAGACTTGTCAAAACATGACACTATAATAAAATTAGTCCCTATTTCTCAACTTAACATTGGTAACCCATCTGTCATTGTCTTTGTTCCTTGTGTTCCTGATATAATTAGCATGAGAATTAAGACAGTGCAACATAACGTATCCCATTATTCATTGGTTCATTTGCAAAGTTAAAAGTCAGTTGAAAACATGTAGGATTTCATGAAGTCCATGAAAGCAGCATTTGGGAATCGCTTACATTGCAGGCACAGCTGCTGACAGATGAGGAACTCGCAGAATTATAAAAAGGATAGTGATGTGAGGGCACTTTAAAGAGAATGATTTGATTTAAAAATCAAAGAATTAAGAGAGGCCCTTGGAAAATGGTAAAGTTCTAGAATATTTTTTCAAGAATGACACTGTTCATTGTGCTGGGAATTAGACATAAAGATTATTATCACCTTATAATTTAGTTTTATCAGAAAATTATGCTAAAGAGAAAAATCAGTATTCTTTTTTCACTCATTTAAAGACTTAGCTCAGAGATGTATTCCTTTGTTTTTTGTTTTTTTATTAAAGTATTTCTGTTTTCTTAAAATATAACTTACATAAGATGTATAACTTGTAAGTGAATACAGCTTGAAAACTTTATATCAGAGTTGTAATTTTACCTAAATTTTGTTAAAACTACCAAAAGTCATTTAATCTAGTAATTTTGGATTTTACTTTTCAAGATAATGTTGCAATTAAAAACTTTTTTTCCATTTATGAAAATTTGATCTTTTATGTTGCCCAGGCTAGTTTTGAACTCTTGGCCTCAAGCAATCTTCCTGCCTTGGTGCTGGGATTATAGGCATGAGCCTTTTCCCCTAGCCAAAAATTTGTGACTCTTAAGGACCTTCATTTTAGGTGATTTTAATTTTTTTTTACTAATTATCCTCAAGTACTTACAATAAAAAATATATGGGTTAGCCCATTAATTTTGAAAGTAAGGAATCTGAGGCCCATAGTTGACATGATATTGGCAAAGGTGAAATGAACACCTGGATCTCTTAACTTCTAGTCTATTTTTTCTTACATTATTATATGCTTTTATCGTCATTTGGGTCTGTAAAATGTACTGAGTAGTCACCATGTGTTGAATTAAATGTTGTGTGCTATGAAGGGACACAATGAAATGAAAAGACATGGTGGCTTTAACCATGAAGCAAATTCCAGTAGGGAATGGTATTCCTGTTTTTGCATTTTAGGAAATAGTTTATCAAGAAATGGAAGTCTTTGAATTTGAAGGAAGTTATTATCATGTAATATTGAATATGATTTTTATCTTCTTAAACATTCTCTATGTCTCTTAGTTTTTTTATCTAGAGAATTCAAAAAGTTGACTTCAGAACTAGAACATATGTATTTTTAAATCCAAAGGTAATAAGACAAGCTTTTAATCATTCTTTAGAATGATTGTCAAGTTTGAAGTTATAATCTTACATAGTATAACTATATAGTTTAAGGTTATAGTTACACATGAATAAATTTGATAGGAAAAGTATTCTTTTGGTATTTATACGTATGTATTTATATTCTATAGTACACTCAGAAGTGAGGTGGGTATGCATTCCTGTTTGACCTCTGATGTCTCTGTCACCCTCTGCTTCGGGTGGTTATGAATATAGTGCCCAGTTTAACTGTGAATGACTTTCACTATGAATGAATGCCTGTGATGTGTTGGGACATTGTTCAGGGAACCTGGGATATATCAGTAAGTAAATCAAAGATCTCTGCCTTTGTGAAGCTTACATTATAATTGGGTTGGCCAGAACTTTTTCATTCCCAAATCTTTTCTCTACTTCAAGTACTTCTCAGTTTGGTGGTAATATAAAGCTTTCTTTTTGCTCTGTTATTTATCTCCATGGTAATGATGACTGCCTACTGAACTTAGTGCCAGCTCTGTCAGGTTTATAAAACTGGATGCTTTTTCTTTTAATGGGGCCAGGATTGTGAGTGGATGTGGCTTGTAAGATGAGGCATTTGTAGACAGGGTCTCAGAAAATAGTATTGAATCTAAACTGAGCTCTGTTTAACTTTTTAACCGTGGTTTAGTCACAGCTTACAGCTGTGAGTTGAAAAAAAAAAGGTGAATAATTTATAAAAGGGCTAGTTTATTTTATGTGATTGAATACACGTGGGAGTAAGGAGGAGCGTGCTCTTACTCTCTTGCCCTCAGAGGAAAATTTCCACATTACATATTTATTACCTACTTTAAAGCCATTATTCTGTTACGTGAATACTTTTATGCTTTTGCTTTTTTTCACAGTATTTCTCTTAAACATAGGTCAGTTCTGTATCCATGGGGTCTGCACCCATGGATACATGGGTCATTATTCCCTAAATAATATAGTACAACTGTTTATATGGCATTTACGTTGTATTTGGTATTATAAGTAATCTACAGATGATTTAAAACACATGGGAAGATGTGTGTAGGTTATATGCAAATACTTTATCATTTTATATAAGGGACTTGAGTGTCCATGGAGTTTGGTATCACAGAGATTCCTGGAATCCATCTCCCACAGATATCAAAGGATGACTGTACTTAAATTTATTCTCTAATTTTGACATAAACTTGTGGTTGAATTATGGGAAAATTTTTGTTGGAATTGGAATTAACATGTAAAAAGAATAATTCCAACTATGCAGTTTACATTTTTTTCCCAGTTGATGTTATTTTTTAAAATCTCCTTTTAAATAGGCATTCTATTGGAGATACCAAAGTTCCCTTCTGTCTTCAGTCCTGTGTAAAACCTTTGAAATATGCCATTGCTGTTAATGATCTTGGAACTGAATATGTGCATCGATATGTTGGAAAAGAGCCGAGTGGACTAAGATTCAACAAACTATTTTTGAATGAAGATGGTAAGAATTACATGAACATTGGTTGAAAAAAGAAATGTCTCATTTTCCTATGTAAATCTAAGTCGTTTTAAACATTTTTTGATTAAAATTGGAAGTATTAATATTTGTCATGTGATTTCTATACAATCCATTGAGAGAGTTTCATCACCTGCTTTTAAAAATGATTATTTTAGGCATCTCATGCCACTGGGAAGTGGGCTAGGGAGAATATGAACTTCTCTTCATAACCACCTTTAGGGAAATAGAGTGAAATCTCAAAATGCCTGAGATTTGCTTTAAAATAGTTTAGTTAAGGCAGCTGGGAGTGCTGGGTGTGATTATTACTACATGTTGGTAATTATCGCAGCTAAATGATGGGTACATGGGTGTTCGTATATTTTTCTCTCTACTTTATTATGTTGTATATAGTATTTGAAAGTTTTATTGTGGCCCTGGTTGAGATAGTGAGGATTATTATTTTTTAGTGAGTGTTTTTACTTTTTCTCCTTATAACATTAAAAAATTTGAAAAATGCTTTGTGTTTAATGCTTGAATAACAAATCTTATGACTTTACAGGAATTCAAAAGAAAAGGGGAGGACAAAAGTAGTTAGTTTGATCTGATAGAGATTTTAAGTCTAAACATCATTTAGCTGAGTGCAAACTAAGTTAAACTATTCCCATGGTTTGGTTTCTGTTTTTTAATCTTTGAAGCATATGCTGTGTTTCTGATTGATGAGTTAAGATACAGAATTGAAGAAAGTGAGAGTGAAGGTTGTAGTAATGGCTGCGAGAGATACACTTTTATACTTTTTTCTTTCTGCTGTATAAAAAATGAAATGTGCCTTATACTCATTATTTTATTAGTTTGTAAGATGAAGTCGTGAGACTAGTATTTTCTTATGTTTCTCATCCTATTTAGAGAGCAATTACATTTTCTTTCCCATTTTACCATAACCTTTTTATTCTGATGCTACATTTGGTTTTATGGACATTACCATAAATTAACAACTTTGATAAGGACATCATATGCAGAAGCACTTTATTTACTAAGCTCGTTGACATCTAGATTTAATATTGAAAGAGTTAATACTGTTATTCTAAAAATATCAAATATTTTAAAAGAAAAATTTAATACTTTCCATGAACAACAAAGGAGAATAGACGTGTCTAGTGAATTGATGGAGGAAGATACTTAAGAAAAAGAAAACAAATACAGTAATTTGAATGTTTTGAAGATTTCAGAAACAAAAAAAAAAGCAAATAAAATGGGCTTGGAACAAATGAACTTAACAGTATAAGTAATGAATTTTTTTGCCATGTATATTTATGGTTTTAGAAATCATAAATTATTGATACTGTATTCTATATAAGAAAAAAATAAGAAATCGGGAATTTAGAATTGTTTATAATAAGAATGAAACACAAAGTTTAACAAGAGATTTTGCCTCGATATTCATAGATGTTTTCTAAGCCTGAGCCAACACCATGAGTCTTGAAAGTAACGGTAAGGCTGGGCGCGGTGGCTCACGCCTGTAATCCCAGCACTTTGGGAGGCCGAGGCTGGCGGATCACAAGGTCAAGGGTTCGAGACCAGCCTGACCAACATAGTGAAACCCCGTCTCTACTGAAAATGCAAAAGTTAGCTGGGCGTAGTGGCGTGCGCCTGTAATCCCAGCTACTTGGGAGGCTGGGGCAGGAGAATCGCTTGAACCTGGGAGGCGGAGGTTGCAGTGAGCCGATATGGCACCACTGCATTCCAGCGTGGGCGACAGGGCGAGACTCCGTCTCAAAAAAAAAAAAAAAAAAAGTAATGGTAAATACAGGCTTTACTATATTACGCCTTCCTGAATTCTTATTAGAGCCTGTGCTCTTGAATCCTGATTTAGTTTAGCCCCAGCAAAAACAATTTGAAGATCTCGTTCATATTTAAAATTGCAAGGGTAGATTTTTGGTGAAACCATACACTTTTTGTGTGTGTATGTATGTATGTGTATATCTAAAATAAATTTTTTAAAAATAAAAATATTAATGTTATACTAGCTTTATAAGATTGTGATGATTTATTAAGACTAATAGGGATATAGTGCATAGATAGAGAAATTGTAGTAGTTTTTTGTAACTACTTTTTTATTTGTTTGTTTGTTTTTGTTTGAGACGGAGTTTTGCTTTTGTTGCCCAGGCTGGAGTACAATGGCGTGATCTCGACTCACCTCAACCTCTGCCTCCTGGGTTCAAGCGATTCTCCTGCCTCAACCTCCCGAGTAGCTGGGATTACAGGCATGCGCCACCACCCTGGCTAATTTTGTAGTTTTGGTAGAGATGGGGTTTCTCCATGTTGGTCAGGCTGGTCACGAACTCCCAACCTCAGGTGATCTGCCCGCCTCGGCCTCCCAGAGTGCTGGGATTACAGACGTGAGCCACCGCGCCCGGCAGTAACAGTAGTTTAGAAAGTTTTGGTAGGAGGTGGCTGATATCTTTTATCATTATCAGTGAGCAAACAAGTTACTTTATGGAAATGTCAGTTTTGCAAACTACCATCTCCCAGGGAAGTCTTCTTTTTCTACCTTTTTTTTTTTTTTTTTTTTTTTTTTTTTTTTGAGACGGAGTCTGGCTCTGTCACCCAGGCTGGAGTGCAGTGGCGCGATCTCGGCTCACTGCAAGCTCCGCCTCCCGGGTTTACGCATTCTCCTGCCTCAGCCTCCCGAGTAGCTGGGACTATAGGCGCCCGCCACCTCGCCCGGCTAGTTTTTTGTATTTTTTAGTAGAGACGGGGTTTCACCGTGTTAGCCAGGATGGTCTCGATCTCCTGACCTCGTGATCCGCCCGTCTCGGCCTCCCAAAGTGCTGGGATTACAGGCTTGAGCCACCGCGCCCGGCCTCTTTTTCTACCTTATAGTGATCAGGTTAATCAACAAATTATTTATATAGCTTTCCTTGTCTGTATTGTTAACAGCTCTGGAGGGTACATGGGCCTTGGTTCTTGGAATAAGTTTTCTGACTACAGGATACAGAAGACAGTTACATATTTCTAATACATGATGGGAGAAGACATACTTAAGCGTTGAATACAGTTAATTGTATTATCTTACAAGTATATAATTGACAGGTGCCAAAATATATGTGCTGATTATATGTATGGAGGATTGAGAAAGAAGAGGAGTTGAGTTAATTTACATGAGGATGACAGGTCTGAATTGATAGGATGAATTTAGGATGGTTGGGAAGAATGTGAGAGGACACTGCACATTTTTTCCAACCATCCACAATGGGCACTGCACATTCTTCGCAACCGTATATATCCCAACCAGATAGAGAATATTTTCTCTATATCTAGAGAATATATTGTAAACGTTTGTAATGTCAGATAATTGAGTTTAACTCCAATTTTTACTTGGCACTGTAAAATTCCAATATAATACCTAAAATATAAATATCCAAATTAAATTGGAAACCCTCTTTAATATTTTTTGTTCTTTAGTATATGTATTAGCAAACTTTGACTCAGCCTCACCTGTGAACAAAACCCTTGTAAAGTTCATATGCTTAGCAGCTTGAAAAGCTTCTTTTGATATAATATGAAAGAATGCTGTGTATTTTATTGCCTTTGGGGAAAATAAATACTTGTTAAAATTGATCAGTATTTTTGCATTATAGTTTAAAACATGTCCATAAATTTCAGGTGTCACCCATGTCCATTTTGTTAGTATAACATGCTCTGGTATCTCATTACTTTAAATGATAGCCTTTATTAGTGTCATAGGTTATTTCTGCCATTCATAAATATTTTTAAATTAAAAATTCTAAATTAAACCCATCAACTCCATCTTACCTTAAGACAGAGCAGGATACAAGAAAATTTCACAGTCATAGGTCTTAGACCGAGGTTTTATACTGCAGTTAGGCTGGTGTTGTGTTACATTCTCTCTGGCGGGTTTCCAGATGTTCAGATGTCTGGCTTTTGAGCCAAAGGCAGAGTGAGCAATTATGTACGTCTGAAAATTGGGCTGTCATGCCGTAAAATGATTTAGTGTTCTTTAAACATCTTGAGTGTAATTTATGTAGCATTTGCAGAGTATTTATCATTTGGAAAATATTTAATACTCACATTTATGTGATACTGTTTGGAATACATAGATTAGCAGCCTTCTAGGACTGTAGAGTCTAAGCCTGATAATGTCAAAAGCTCTGAAATGACAGATAATGAACATCCATACAAATAAAAGTATAAAGTAATTTAACACAATCTGATTTCTAAATTCTTCTTTTCTCTCTACGTGGGCTTTTCTTTCAGGTGGATAATATTTGGAACATTTTTAGGTTTTGGCCCCCTCATGCCACATAGTATTCTTCTGGAACAGCAAGTGTTCTCATTTTATGTGTTCTCAGAAAAATCAAACTTCTCTTAGTATAATTTGGAATAGGCAAATCTTGATTGTAATGATCAGATATAGCACAAAGATTTTATTTTAACTTTTGGAACTGGGCATTATGAATACACCCAAAATGTATAATTTTTTTCTTTTTGTTTACTTTTAATTGACAGATAAAAATTGTGTATATGGTGTACAACATAGTGATTTGAAATATATATGCATTGTGGAATGGATAAATCAAAGTAACATACATTACTTCATATATTTATTTGTAATTAGAAGACAAAGTATGCTTTCTTAACAATTTTCAATATGTAATTTTCAAGTACATATAATACTTGTTATTAACTACATCATGTTATAAAATAGATCTCTTGAACTTATTTCTCCTGCGTAACTGAAATTATGTATCCTTTGACCAACATCTGGCAATCCCTTCTCCCCTCTCCCCCACTTCTGGTAACCACCAGGTAGATAGATTAAGACATTGAGGTTTGCTTGTAAATAGATGTTTTCACTGTCCCCAACAGTTTCGTTTTTGGCATTTGTGTAATGCAGTGAATGAGAATATAATCAGTTGAGTTTTTACATTCTTATTTATTATAAGAATTAGGAGAACTTTGGGAGGCCGAGACAGGCAGATCACGAGGTCAGGAGATCGAGACCATCCTGGCTAACACGGTGAAACCCCGTCTCTACAAAAAAAAAAAATACAAAAAACTAGCCAGGCGAGGTGGCGGGCGCCTGTAGTCCCAGCTGCTCGGGAGGCTGAGGCAGGAGAACGGCGTAAACCCGGGAGGCGGAGCTTGCAGTGAGCTGAGATCCAGCCACTGCACTCCAGCCTGGGCAACAGAGCGAGACTCCGTCTCAAAAAAAAAAAAAGAATTAGGAGAAGAAATAGGAATTTGGAAGAATGTAAAGTTTTAAATAACTTTAAAATTATATAAGAAATACAAATATACCTCTTGTCAGGAAATATAGAAAACCTAAAAATATCCCCTATAGGCTGTGCATGGTGGCTCATGCCTATAATCCCAGCACTTTGGGAGGCCAAGGCAGGAGGGTTGCTTGAGTCCTGGAGTTTAAGTCCCGCCTGGGCAACATAGGGAGATGCTGTCTCTGCGGAAAATAAAACATTAGCCAGGTGTGGTCTGTGCCTGTGGTCCCGGCTTCTTTGGAGTCTGAGGCTGGAGGATCACTTGAGCCTGGGAGGTCAAGGCTTCAGTGAGCCATGATTGTGCCACTGCGCTTCAGCCTGGGTGATAGTCTGAAACTTTGGCTCTTAAAAAAAAAATCCCTTATAATTTTATTGTTCTATGTAAATCACTTGTTTGTGTTTTTAAATCCTTCTGTGTATGTACTTGTATATAAAGATAAAAATAAAGCGCTTAGAAAAAAGCAAAATTGAGTTTACGTTAGCTGTGCTTTTTCCAAGGTTATTTTTAATATATAATATTACTCAAGTGCTTAAGTATTTGAAATAATGGTGTTGCTTTTATATTTTACAGATAAACCACATAATCCTATGGTAAATGCTGGAGCAATTGTTGTGACTTCACTAATAAAGGTAAAATGTTGATGTTGCATTTTAACCTAGTAAACTTTTTTTTTTTTAATAGCTAAGGCATAAAGATGAATCTGGGATTATTTATGTAGAATTGTGAAAAATTTTCTCATGGTGTTAAGAAATTGTCTTATGGTATAGAGTTAGGATCTTTATTTCAAAATGAATGATGTAGTCATTTCAAGGCAAAATTAAAAACAGATGACTCATTGTAAATTCCAACAATTATTTACTCTTGACTTGAAGATCTGGAAAATATTTAAAGTCTGCTGAATAAAGGCATAGAGGCTTTTTTTTTTTTTTTAAGTTTTGGTAATTTTCCTTTCATTTCCTTTTGAGTCTTCTAGAATAAACAGTTATAAGTAGAATTAAAGGCATTTTACTGCATATTTGTTATTAGTATATGTAGGAACAAATGTTCTAGTACTTAAGACAAACTACATTTACCCTCAGATTTTCTCAAGTCTTTGATACTCTCATGAGCTGAAATCACAATTTTTATTGGAACTTGTTTCATTTGGTTTTAATTAAAACAAATAAGGCTTATTCCAATTAAGTTATATTTTCTTATGCTTTGAAATTTGCATTGTGAGGTTTTTTTTTTGTTTGTTTGTTTGTTTTTAGTGTTTGGTTTGCCTTAATAATTGGAAGATCTAGTATTTGAAAATAAGTATTTGCAAATGGTTCTTGTGTAATAGATTTTTAAATCTATCACACGATTTTAGATGTTTCAGATTTTTAATTTCTAATTATAAATTTTATTTATATTTAAATAAATTTTATTTATGTTTGGAACATTTGTATACTTCTTTGGTAAATCTGTGCCTATCTATTCCAAGTTAGAGGAAAGCATAACTACATGGCTTTGTAAATGCTTTACCGTGGATGAGGTACCCCGGTTACATGAAGGATATTTGAGTATAAATTATACCCTTGGCCCAGTTCACAACACTTCATCTAATTTGTATACTAGAAATCCTTTAAGAGTTTTATATCTGTGAGAAAAAGCTTTTAAAATAGAAGGCTAGTATCTTAAGAATCTATGTGTTTACTTGTTACTTCAAGGCAAATTCTTTGAAAGTATTGGCCCATTTGATTCTTATAACTCTAATGAAGTAGATGTTATAGCCAAGTGTTTTTAAAATGTAACTAATTGTAATAGGCTATGGAGAAAGCTGTCAGTTTGAGGTGAAAGAAACTTGACAATGCGATTATTTGCAAGGCACAGTCCCACCTTTAGGTAGCTTATTTCATAGTATGGGATATGCAAAAGTAAATGGATCCTTATAAGAAAATCAATAAATGCTGTGATGAGAGAAAAGCCTCATTAATAATTGCTTAGTTTTGAACAAGTAACTTAAATTAGAAATAAGGAAAGTTACTATAATGCTTGATGAGAAAAACACCAAAATTGTTTCTTCCCAGAAAAATACCCACATACCATAATTTTACGTAAACTTCCAGGTGTTCACTACTATTGGAGGCTGATCCATGGATCCTAGTTTAAGAACTCTTAAACTGGAGAGAAATTAACATACACTACGTATAGTCTCAAAAAGGGGTTTATGTAAATAATTAATAGAAGACTTCCTTAACTGCACATAGTTAAAAATCTTTCATTTAATGATTCATGGGTTTAACAGACTACACCGAAATGCTGCATGTGGGAGTTGCATATCTGGTTATCATATCACACTATCATTTCATTAGTTTCACTTGCCATGTTTAGTCATGAGCCATAAACTATATATTGAGTTACATTTTAGTATGAGCGATTAGAAACAAAGTTAAAAGATGCGTACAACATAAGTGTGGTTCAGTGTTCAACAGTGCAAAAATTTAATTGAGTCATCTTGTACCTACAAATTTGATCAGTAGTTTTCATAAAAATTTAAATCTATTGGCAAAGTTGGAAATGAGGCTTCAGGGTATGGTTTATATTTAAGGTCACTTTCTCCTGAGTTTTTGTTTTGTTTTTAGCATGTGTTTCTCAAGTATTTTTTTTTAAGTGAAGTTCATAACAAATCTTGGAGAGGAAAGCCTGATGTAACCCTATGTAAAATTGAATGCCCCATAATGTGTAATATTTTTTTAGGATCTTTTAGGGAAAGGATTAAATTCATATGAATATCTATAATGTGATCTCTACAAATTGTATGATCACTTTGTATTTATAAATTGGTATTGGTTTGAAATTTAGGTAATAAAACCATAGCCAAAAGGGCTTAAACATTGTCAAACGCAGTTCTCTTACTTTATATAACTGAGGAAACTGAGAACCTGGCAAGGTTGTAACAGCAGTAGAATTGGACTTGAACTAAATCTCCTGATATTCAATTTGCTGTTCATTACAATTCACTCCGCCATATTTAACCTAGGTGTTTGCTATTTCTCTTGATGACATCTTTAATTTTAATTAGCATAGTTATATTGTCCAAAATGCAGAAGTACTATTTTCTTAATTTGAACTAGTTCAAACGATAACAATTTATTGGTTTAAAAGTTGTATCTCATTTGATAGCAAATGTTATGTAGTCATTCTTTGGACATTAGTCAGTAAAGAAACAGGCCCTTTTCCAAGGTGCTTGCATCTGAGTACCCAACGCCACGGATGCTTCACCATGGCTGCTAGAGGTGAATTCTGTTTTTAGCTCTTTTAATGGATGACCTTAAGACTATTTGTGATTTTTTTTTTTCTTTCAAAATTCAAGAATTTATCATGGTGCCATTAAAATCATTTTCTTCATGTTACTCCCCCACCCCAAAATTAAGTAGAGTCTTTAGTAAGACTCTTGATTTCATAATTTTGTAGTGTTGATATTTTTTCCTTGTAGGATTGGTGGTGATCCTCAGGAAATGGGGGAAGAGGCAGAGCAAATGTTCAAAAGGATTAGCAGATTGTGGAAAAAAGGAGAATTTGGACAGAAGGAGCCTGTTGCATAAATTCTTAACTACTAAGCTTATAGGAAAACTACAATATTTAAAATTTTAAACAAAGCTATATAGGTAAATACCTTTTTAAAAACAAATGTAATTTTATACTTAAAATGCACATAATTTTTAAAATCATAAGGGTACTATACTTCCTCTCTTCTCTGTGGTAGCTACTAACTTTAAAGGAATACTTTTTGTTGTAATCTGTTTTATTTGGGGTGGTGATAATGTGTGATTGCTTGATTAAAAGGAAAGAATAAAAATAAATTTGAAAGGAACATTTATTTTTATATGACATAGCAGTATCCTTTTTTTTTTTTTTTTTTTTTTGTCTTTTCACTGGTAAAAATTTCACCTAGTTTTAGTTTAAAAGTTACGATCTGGTGATAACTTAAGGGTTGGGAGGACAACATGCTGCAAAATAATTGCCACACAATGCTTTTTCATGTTAGAAATAGTAAAAGTTACACTATCTTCTATGTTTTTACTTCTTAGAGTTTTTTGTTTTTTGGTTTTTAGAGACAAGGTGTCTCTCTGTTGCCCAGTCTAAGTGCAGTGATATAGTCATAGCCCACTGTAGCCTCAAACTCCTGGGCTCAAGTGATCCTGCCACCTCAGGCTCCAGAGTAGCTGAGACCACAGGCACATGCCACCATGCAGGGCTAATTCTTTTTTTTTTTTTTTTTTTTTTTTTTGGAGACGGAGTCTCGCTCTAGTGCAGTGGCCAGATCTCAGCTCACTGCAACCTCCACCTCCCGGGTTTATGCCATTCTCAGCAGGGCTAATTCTTTATAAAGATGGGGTCTTGCCATGAACTCCTGGCCTAATGTGATCCTCCCAGTTTGGCCTCCCGAAATGCTGGGATGACAGGCGTGAGGCATTCTACTTGGCATGCCTCATTCTAGTGGTAGTTTCCAGTTTTTGTCATTTAAAGAAGCTCAGTTTTTTTAATCAAAAGTATTTTTGAATTTTAAAAATTAGGGTTTTTTTTTCTTTAAATAACTTGTAATCATACTCATTGAAAATCAAGACAAGCTTAGTTAATGTTTATGTAATGGTCAATTTGGTCATGTTAGCAATAGCCTGTTAGGTATGCTTGTAAGACATGGTTTGCTTATAAGAGTAGTTTGTGACTCTGAGAGTAATGCATAATGCCTTGGACTGGCAACATTCAGAAGACAGGATTATATTGGTTTATTTACTTCACGTTTATATCAGTTTATGCTTTAGTTTTTTTTAAGTGAAAAGTAGAGCATTTATTGTCAACTAAAAATTGTTCTGTTAACTTTATTTTTAGGGTTAATCTATGAAAATACTAGATCTAGAAAAACATTCTTTTTTACCTGGAGTGTCTTATTTTTTATTTTACTAATACTCTTTAGCTTTAAACCATTTTCAATCATAAGATTAAATTAAGAATATTTCGTAAAATCATTTTTAGTTACCTCTTTTTGCCTCTTCCTTTGTGATGTCTAATTTTTAATTGGCTTGCACCTCCATACTTTATGAATGGAATCAAGTGCGATACTTACAAAATAACTCTGATTGATGCATTGACTTTAAATGAGCCATTTTAGTATTAAATTTATTGACAGATGTCCTTGTTAACAGTGTTTTTCACCTGTGTTGTAAAGTATAATACATGAATCAATTCATAAATATGTTATAAAAAACTGTATAAAAACACTGCAATATAGTTACATTAATTTTTTAATAGATAATGTTAAAACTCAGTGGTGCTTTATCAAATTTTCATTCATATAGTATTTTTCAAAGGAATGTAAATTCTGTAACTTGACAGGCATATTTACAGAAAAATTTGTATAGTTTTTTAGTATCAGGATCTGGTTACCCTTTTCAAACAACCCATATGGGTTTGTTTTTTTTAAATCATTTGGTGAGTGGATTAGAAATTTTGATAAGTATATTCCAATTTGGTTTATTTAAAAAATGTTTCTACTGTTTTTACTACAAATGATTATAACTTTTTAAAAAATAATACAGTATCTAATAATGCTCATACAGTGATCTTCCAACTGGGATAAACATATCTTTGGATTCCATACTTG